CGGAGATGCGCCAGCCGACGCTGGGCACTCATTGCAAACGCCACCGCGCGGGCGTTGGGTGTGCGGAAGGGTGAGTGCGCGAGCAGTGGAGTTGACAACTCCCAGATTTTCCTTCTCCATAATCAATTCTCCTTTCTAAAATAGTAATAGATTCTACCCCCCCCCCCCCGGACTTATCGCTTCCCCCGCGCGTGCTGTAAATCGCATATGATTCTGACCACGTGTCCATCCTAAATATGGATTCATACCATCCCAGCCGAGCCGGTATCCCCCCCCCTGCGGTTCCCTGTCAAATAACATTATGCGGGGGCAATTTCCTTTCTAACATAACAGTTTTTCACGAATCCTGGTCAAATAATACCATGCGGGACACATTCGCGCGCGCAAGACGAAATCCTTCCAAAACCTTCGTGTTCGTAGCGATTTTAACATAAAAACATCAAAAACCAATTTTTTCTTTCAAAAAAAAAGTTTCACACATTCACCCCGCGCGCTCTTGCGGATTCCTCGGAAACCCACTACTTTTTCAACATTTCTGTCAAAAGGGCTCTTGCGAGCAACTTTTTCCTGCGCTTCGAACTTCTTCAACAACGGCTGCGCGCCTGCCAGGGGCATAATCCTTGTCAAATAATGCCGTGCGGGACACATTCGTTTTTTCTTCGCGCGCGCGCGCCGAAATCTTCAAAATCATTGGGTTTCTTCAGCATTTCAGCACTGCGTATCATAAAAACACACGAATCGCACCGTAGGTCCTCGAACAAAAACCTGCACGGATTTTCAAAATTTTGCCCGCTCGCGCTGTCCGAACCTTAAGAAACCAATGTTTTTTTCAACATTTCGGTCGCACGAGCTCGTGCGAGCTACTTTCGCGCGCTCCTTCAACGACGTTCGCGCGCCTGCCAGGGGCAACTGGACCCCCGGACCCGCCGACGCTCCGGGGATCTCCCGGGGGCCGGGCCTCCGAACTCGAGCAACATCGCGCTCCTCCCGCGCAGGGTCTGCGGGCCTCCGGGCCTCCTCCGGACCATGATGGAGCACTGCAGCCAACGCGGCAGCGACTGGCTACGCGAGGCGCGGCGCACCGTCGGCGGGCCATTCTCGATGTTGCCCCCCCTGGACGAGGCCGCCGCCCTGGTGAGTTTTGCTGACCAAGTTGCGGGTGGGAGGGTGGGATGTTTGCTCGAGCAATGGAGAAGACAACTTCAAGTTCAGCAAATTAGTTGCACCGCGTAGATTGCACCGCGTCGGTTGCCGCCCATAAATTGCTCAACGTCGGCTGCGCAACATGTCATGCACATTCCGGTAGCGGATAGATTGCGCTGCATTAGTGTCGCTACATAGGTTGCGCCATATATATTCCCATTCATAAGACAAAATAGTGTTACTTCCGCTCCCGCCCGCAGGGGTTGTCCGCGCCCTTCGGGCGCGTGCAATTGGCGTTCGGTGCTGCGCAGATCTTTCGTTCCCAAGATGAATCCATAACATCCCATCCATGTCCCCCCCCATCCTCGCCAAACAATGTAATGCGCGTGCGCTCGGTGGTCGCAAATCATCCACTTGCAAGAACATTCTACTACATAAAACAATGGGCGAAGTGCACGCTCGCGCGTCGTCGCGCGTGCTTGCCGAAGTCTTCAGTAACTGTAGGCTTCGCGGGGGCTTCAGAATCCAGGGGCCCGAAAACAGACGAACGACCCAATGAGTCCAACGCAGGCAAGTCTGCTCGCGTTCATGCGAACTCTTCAGAAAACCATTTTACATTAAAACACCACGTCCATCGAATGGTGCCACGCGGGCGTTTCGCGCGCGCGCATGTCGAAGTCATTCGAACGCCTTTGTGCGCGTGCTTTGGCGGGGGTCAAAGTCTCGCGCGGGCCGCTCTCGCTCGTCGGCCGCGCGCGCATGTCGAAGTCCTCGAAGACCTTGATCGCCGACGTGTGGGCACCAGTGTCGCCGGCGCGATCGGCATCGGCGCCGTCGTTGGCCTTGCCGTCGCCGCCGTCGCTATCTTCGCCGGCATAGCTACTATCATCATCATGTTTGCCGTAGTCGGCGTCGCCATGAAACCGAGCCTGCCCGAGTCTTCGACTCGCACTGGAGTGCCTGCGCGCCAGCGCGGTTCCAGCGGTCAGCGCCGCCGCGGTCGCGTCGGTCGCGCCAGACTAGCTGGCCGCTCTGCGCGCGAGCATGCGCGGGCCAGCGCGGCCTCAGCGTTGCGCAGGCCAGCGCCAAGCAGCCATCGCAATTGTCGCCGCATGGGTTTTGCAAACCAGCGTGCGGGTGGGCGGGTCGGATCATTGCGCGAGCAGTGGAGCTGGCAGCTTCAAGCTCGGCAGGGCGAATTGCGCCGCGTAGGTTGCGCAACATGTGTTGCGCTACCTCGTTTGTGCCAGATAGATTGTACAGCGCAGATTGCGCAATGTTCGTTCTCCTTTCGCAGGAAGGAATTAGATCTAGCACCGTCGCCCTTGGTCCTGTCTATCCAGCCTCGCGCGTTACAGTTTGAATTTGATTCCGCCCCATCGTTCAGGCCAAATGTAAATTCATGCTGTCCCAGCCAGACCAGCATCGCCCCCCTCCCACCCCCCGTTCGCCCTCGTCAGACAATGCTATGCGCGAGCTTTCGTTTATTCAAAAATCATAAATTTGCAAGAGTCGCTTGCAAACAATGGGACGACGTGCGCGCCCGCGCGTCGTCGCGCGCGCATGCCAGAATCGGATTCACAACGATCTCACAACCGAATGTCCCGAAAACGCATAACATCCAAACAGTTCCGCATTTTTTCAAACCCTTGCGAATTTGGAAAAAAACAGTCGGTTTCATCATATTCAGACAATTCGGCCAAACGGGCCTCTCGCGCGCGCGTGCCAGAGTCAGTCGAAAGCCATTGCGGGCGGGCTGGGGTGGGGGTGGGGGGCACGGCCCTTGTCAAATAAGATCATGCGGGCCATTCGCGCGCGTCGGTCGCGCGCGCGCGTCGAAATCCTTCAACAATTCTCACCGCCGACGCCACCGTCATCGGCGCGATCAGCATCGGAGCCGTCATTGGCCTTGCCGCCGTCATTGTCACAATCGTCACCAGCATCGCTACTCCACCACCATCGTGTTTGCCGTTGTCGACGTCGCCATGATACCGCGCCCGCCCAAATCACCGACTCGCACTGGAGTGCTCGCTGGCAACTGCCCAGCAGTCAGCGCCACGTCGTGAGCATGCGCGGGCCAGCGCTGCCGCAAACATGCACCAGCCAATACCAAACACTCATCGGAATCGCCGCCAAACCAAATTGCGGGTGGTTCGGTGGGATGCTTGCGCAATCGGTGGAATTGTCAATTCCAAATTTCTCAAAACTAATTGTTCCACAGATCTTGCAACACGTAGATTGCCATAAAACATACTGCTTGGTGTCCACGCTTGTTACAATTCAGGAAACGATCGCCTCCTTCATCGGTGAAGGTGTTGCCAAATTGTTGAGACGAATGTGCGCGGCGCTAGGACGATCGCCACATTTTGGAATCCATCCCCTTATAAACGGAAAATTGATGAACCTGTTTAGAACGATTTTGCGCCGCGCCACAGCACCACAGTTTGAAAAGTACTTCCGTCTATCAGTGAAGCTGGTGCAAACTTCAATTTTCAGGATCATACGTGGTGAGGAAGTCCCAGGCGAAACGCCCAAGTCGCCCTGCTGACATGCCCGGCGGTGGGACCAGGAGGAACTACTTGTAAAAAAGGTAGAGCAGGAGAGGGAGGACGAGGAGGAGGAAAACGAGGAGGATGAGGACCAACGTAAGAGGTTGGAATATTCCTTCCCTCCAAACTCCCTATTCGTAGGCTCATACAGTGGTTCATCTTCTTTGATGGTACTGCCTCGTCGGAGGACAGCCGCTTGAATATGTTGAAACATGCCAAAACATTGTTTTCGGGATTTCATAGCAACCGATCGCCCAGACTGTTGCGTCCTGGCGAGCCTGAATCGCGCCAACACGCCAGTCCTGGGATTTCAACGCGAATCAACTTAATTGTTGCGCCCGCATAATCAGGAATCTTTTCCAAAACCCCATTTCTGGCAGGTTGATCATGGGAACCCGTGTAACTCTTGCGGGTAATTGTCAACGAATGTGCGCGGCGCTCAGGCGAGAGCCACATTTTGAAAAGGAACCGCCCTCAGTCCGGAAAGCCCTTGCAAGCTTGTAGAATTAATGCGCGCGGAGCCAAGGCGAGAGCCAAATTTTGAAAACCACCCGCCCGCAATCCGTGAAGCTCTTGCAATTGTTTAACCAACGTGTGTGGCGCTGAGGCGAGAACTAGATTTTGAAAACCACCCGCCCTCAATCCGTGAAGCTCAGGCGAGAATCACATTTTGAAAACCACCCGCCATCACTCCGTGAAGCTGTTGCAATGTTGAAAACCAATAAGCGCGGCGCTAAGATGATAACCACATTTTGAAAGCCACCCGCCCTCAATCCGTGAATCTCTTGCATGTTTTAAACCAACGTGCGCGGAGCTAAAGCGAGAACTACATTTTGAAAACCACCCGCCCTCATGCCGTGAAGTTCTTGCAATGTTTTAAAACGAATGTGCGCGGCGCCAATGCGAGAACCACATTTTGAAAACGGCCCGCCCTCCATCTATGAAGCTGCTGCCAAATTTTAAGCTTCAGGGTCATATGTGGTGAGGACGTCTCAAGCGAAACGCTCGGCCCGCCCTAACAAAGTGGCGTCGGGGTGCGACAAGGAGGAGTTTCTTATAAGGAAATGGAATGGAGGAGGCGGAGGAGGAGGAGGAGGAGGAGAAGGAGGAGAAGGAGGGGGAGAAAGAGGAGGAAAAGGAGGAAGTGGAGGAGGAGGAGGAGGAGGAGGAGGAGGAGGAGGGGGAGGAGGGGGAGGAGGAGGAGGAGGAAGGGGGGTAAGGAAGGGAGGGGAGTTTGGGTCGGCAGCAGCGGGGGCCACACACCCGCCGGCGGGGAGCCAGGACGGGGGGGCGGCTCTGGCCCCCAAGGTTCGACCCCGAGACGGCCAGCTCCGTGGACCGCGCCGGCGCCCCGGCGTGCGTCGATCTCACTTCTCGGGGGGCGCCGAGGATTGAGGATCGAGGGCGGGCCCGAGCTGTTCCAGAGTCAGGGGCAAGGTGAGGGGGCGATGGGCTCAGGAGGAGGAGGACGAGGACGAGGAGGAGGAGGAGGAGGAGGAGGAGGAGGAGGAGGAGGAGGAGGAGGAGGAGGAGGAGGAGGAGCGGAGGAGGGAGGGGGCCCTAAAGACCCCTCATCGCCCACTGACTGCCGATGGGGGCCCGATGGCCTGTCCCGCGCAGGAGCGCGTGGATTCGCTATCGGGGGCCAGGCGTCGGCATCTCGGCCACGCATCGCCGATTGCAGGTCGATGCCCCCTCTCCCGAGCTGGTGCCCCCCTGCGCTGGTCCCCGCTGCGTGAGGATCAAGGGGTAACCCCGAGTGGTTCGATAAGTGTGGGGGCGTGGATCGCACTGGGAGGCAAGGGTGGGCAGTCCCTCGGGGGCTGGATCGCGTCACGGGGCGGGCTCGGTGCGCTGGTCGTTTTGCGTGGGACCCTCTGGGGGCTTCGGAGGCCTGGCGCGCCTTGAGACTTCCAGGAGCCTTCGGAGACCTCTGGGGGCTGGCTCCAGAGGCCGTGGGCGCGGACGTGGGGGCTCGGCCTGGGGGTGGGGGGGGCACACTGGGGTGTTGCTCGAAGTGCCCCTGGGCAAAGGTGCCCCCAGCTTTTCGCTCCATCTTGGAGGCCCTGGGGCCGCCTGGGCCTCATGAGAGGGGGCTCTGGAGGCCGTCTGGGCCACCCAGAAAATCCTGGGGACACCTTGGGCCAGGGGCACTTCTGGCAACACCCGAAACACCGACCAGGCGCCCATCCATCGCCGATCGCCCAGAAGCGCGTGCGGTTTCGCCACGCGTGCATACCTCTGTCTATTGGGGACACGGCGCCGATCCATCTCCAGGCCGCGGCTCTCCCCATTCCGAGCCAGGCAGCTGCCTCCTGCGCCGCCCCTCGGGAGGTCCGAGGAGGTTTCCAGAGGCCCCCATAGGGCCACACGCGCCGAGCCTCTTCTCCTGCGCACGGGCGGAGGGATACCGCCCCGACCCCCGCAGTTGCTTGGCGCTTGCTGGACAGCCCTGGGCGTTTCCCCTCTCTCTCTCTTCGCCGTCCCCTCCCCCTCCTGTTCTGACAGTTCTTGCATGGTGGAGGCCCCTTCCCGCCAGCCGGGAGGCTGGCAGCCTTCTTCCTCCGAGCCGCTGGCAGCTCTCTCCCTCCGAGCTGCGCCTCGTGGCCCCTCCTGGTCCCCAGCAGCAGCAGCAGGAGCCCCTTTCGCACACCCCGGCCGCCGGCGCTCACGGACCACCGCGGGGGGAGCCGCTCCGGGTGAGCGCGCACCGCGCCCCTCCTCGCCCCGGAGCACTGGAGAGGGGGTGGCTTGGGGAGGGGCGGCCCGGCAGGCCCCAGGACGGGACGGGTCGCTCCAGAGCGGTGTCGTCCCGCTTCGGGGGCGGCCGCGAGGGGGGGCGGGGTGTGGCCAGGTGGGGTGCGCACCATGGCCTGGGCCCTGCGATCTCCCGCGATGTCATGGCCCCGTCTTCTTCTTCTTCTTCTTCTTCATCTTCTTCTTCTTCGTCTACTTTCTCCTCTTCTTCTTCTTCTTCTTCTTCTTCTTCTTATTGTCATTATTCATCTTGTTATTCTCCTTCTTCTTCTTCTTCTTCTTCCTTTTCTTCTTCCACTGCGCTCTCTGGCTCCCCCCCCCCTCGTCCGCGCACGTGCCTCGGGCGCCCCCTCTTGGACGCCCCCGAGCCTCGGTCCCCGGGCCCAGGAGGAGGGGGCGCAGGCAGGTGATCGTTTCTTCTTTCTTGTTTGCCGATCGGCGCGGGCCCTAGACCCCCCCCCCTCCCCCTCCCCCTGGAGTAGATCTTGGCTGTTTTGGGCGCCTGTTTCAGGCAGGTGGAGTCTCCCACACAGGACGCACTGTTGCAGACAGTCGCAGTAGGCACAGTGGTCCAGGGGGGGGGGCCGACAGGCCCAGGAACGGGAGGAATCGCTCCAGGGCGCCGGTGCCAGGCCCACAGCGCGGGACTTGTTCGTGAGGTTCGCGACGTCTGTAGAGGGGGCGAGTCGAGGACTTCGGCAGCAGATCATGGGAGCCTGGTAGATCCTTTCAAGTCCGTCTGTAGCGTCGATTCGCGTCGATGAGCGTCTGGGAGTCGATGAGATAGCGCCAATTTAGCGTCGGCTAGCGTCGGCTAGCGTCGGTTAGCGTGTATTTAGCGTCGACCAGCGTCGACTCAGCGTCGACCAGCGTCGATTCGCAAGAGCCGACAAGAAGGTATGGGACTCTCCCAGGAGCTGCCATCGAAAAACGGAGAGAGATAGGGAACATTGGAGTGGGGTGCTCATCCGGGGAGAAAAGAGAGAGAGAGAGAGAAAGAGAGGTCGACCAACAAACAAACGGCACCACCCCACCTACGGCCCTCCGTCCATGTTGCGCTACGGCCCATCGGGCGCCGTAGCGCATACCGCGCAAACGCTACGCCATACCCCCTGGCATACGCGAAGCCGCGTGGGGCCGCAGGCGGGGCGGTGTCGTTCGTCTTCTGCTCCAAAAGGGGAGCATTGGGGCGGGGTGCCCGTCCGAGGAGAGCTTCCTCGGGGCTGGCCGCTCGCGCCCGCGGCCGGTCTGGCGCCGCTCCTCGCGGGCGTGGGCGCGGGGGCGGCGGCCCCTGCCGGGAGGGCCGGGGGCGGGGCGGCCTTCTCAGCGGGGCCCCGCCCCCGGGCCAGCCCGAACGTCTCGAGGAACTCGAGGCGGAGGTGTTTCGCAGCTTTCGGCCTCTGGGGGCCCTCGCCGGGCCCCGGGACCCCTGCAGTCTCGAGAAGCTGGAGGCGGAGGTGTTTCGCAGTCTTCGGCCTCGGGGGTCCCTCGCCAGGCCCCGGGACCGGCAAGAAGCGAGCCGGGACGAAGAGCCCGCCCTGGGGGAGTGGCCCAGACCTCCGGGGACCCCGTGCGGAGAAACTGAAGGCATCGGGTGTCTGCGTCCCACCGCCTTGTCATGACGGCAAGACAGACCGGAGGACAGCACAACGCATCCCTACCCCCAGCCAGGACCCTCACTCCCGACCTGGTGATCCAGAGGGGTCCTGGCTGGGGATGGAGGTTTTTTGTGCCCCCATCCTCCCCAATCCACATCCACCCCCAGCCAGGAGGGCAGGAAAATTCAGGTCCCCCTCCCCCCTCCGAGGCTGAAAATGATGTCTTGGGGCCGTCTTGGGGCGCTCTGGGGGCGCTCTTGGGGCCCTCTCGGGCCCCTCTTGGGACCCTCGTGGGCCCCTCTTGGGGCTCTCTTGGGCCCCTCTTGGGGCGCTCTTGGGCCGTCTTGAGGCCTTCTTGAGGCGTCCAGAGCCCATCGGAAGCGAAAGGGCGAGAAGGCAAAAAACATGATGTTCCTTTGGTTTTGCAGCCATTTTGGCCTCCTGGGGGGTCCTTGGAGGGCTTGGAGGGCAGCTGAAACCGCCTTGGGGCCGTCTTGAGGCCTCTTGGATGTTTGTCCGAGGCTATCTTGAGCCATCTTGGCGGCCGTCGTGGGCTCTCTGAGATCCTCATGGAGCCATCTTGGGCCATCTTGGACGCCGTAACCCCTCCGTCCCCCCCCCTCCCTTCCCAGGCCCAGGGGAGAGGGTGGAGGGAGGGGTTTTGGAAGAGAGGAGACAAGAGTTCGTTAGGCCACCTGCGCCCAGAAGGCTGGCGGGACTCCTCTCCGGGCTCGTGGGTCCATCATGCTTCGCCCTTGCGCGAGCAGCTCGCTCCGGCGGAACCTCCCGCCCCGCTTGCGAAATCGCCAGAAAGGACGGCGGATCTGGAGCGTCGGGGCCCGTGGCGCCCGACGCCCCGGGATTGGTGTGCTGAGATCGCCCTGGAATATTCGACGGGCCTGTTTCAGGAGGGACAGAAACACACAGACACGATCAGTCGTCGACTCCCAGGAAAATGTGCGAAAATCTGGGAAGTGGGGGGGAAGACGAAAGCCTAGAAAAAATATGGCAAAATATGGGGACTCCTGTGATTTGTGTGTATCTATTTGTGTGTCCCCTGGGCCCCCCTCACTGTTGAGGCCAGCCAGGACGACCTCGGGGGGGGGCTGCCTGTGCGCAGCCTGGAGCTTCATCACCCCAGAAGTTTGCAGATCTGCGGCGGAATCCGGGCCCCGTCCTCGCCGATCGACGGCTCGGGCGACCTCATCGGCGGCGGGGATGGGGCGCGTACTTCGTCGACCAGGTGGCGAGATCCGATCCCTGCACCCGCCGCCCGTGGATTCAGGAGAGTCGATGGTCGGTTGGGGGGTAGGGTTCGGTCGGGCCTGTTCCGTTGCAGGAGGGATATCCAAAAATTGTCAAAAAATAGTATGGGGACGATTCTTTTCTTATTTTCAAGCATTTGGGGAGTATGTTTTGAGTTTTTTCATATTTCGCCCAAAATCCCCCTGCAGGGGGACAGGCCCGACCTGAGGGCAGGGTTCGGATGTCGCCACCTGTCGCAAACCTCCCTCTTCGCTTCTCGAGGGCCGGCCGCACGCCTCGGCGCCGAGGCCCCGAGCCCGGGGTGAGTCGTGGAGCCGCCCCGCGGATCCTGGCCCTGGGAGGTCCTCGGAGGTCGTCTGCACCCGGGAGCGGCCCTTCGCCAGAGTGGCCTTTGGGTGTAAGTCGGGCGTGTCCCTCTGCAGGAGGAGCATTCACAAATGGTCAAACAAAAATAGTCAGGGGACGATTTTTGGATTATTCAGTGGCTGACGCCACACCGCCGACCCCTTGGGGCGGCAGTGAGAGTGAAAAACGGAGTTTGCGGAACGATTTCTGGGGAATCTTGTGGTTTCAGCTTCTTGGGATTTCGTTGGGGGCGGTTGGCGGATCGCCGCTCTGCTCTTGGGCTTCTCTGGGCTCTCCTGGCAGCACTTTTGAGGCCTCTTGGGAGCCGTTTGGGGGGCTCCAGGAGCCTCTTTTGGGCCTCTCGGGGGTCTTGTGGGAGCCTCTTGGGGGCTTATTGGCGCCTCCCTAGGTTTTTTCGGGGCCGGGTGCTCGAAATCTTCATTCGGGTTCCCCTCTGGGCCTCCTCTTGGGGCCGTCCTGGGGCCCTCCTGTGTCGTTTTGGAAGCTTCTGGGGCCGTCTAGGGGCCCTCTTGGGCCGTCTTGGAGCCCTTTTGGGGGCCTCTTGGGCTATCTTGGGTCGATCTTAAAGGCTTCTTGGGCTGTTGTGGGCCTCGTGAAAGCCTAAGCTAAACATATACGTTTTCCCTCGGGAATGGGACGATTTTTGCTTCTGGAGGGCCTCTTGGGACGCCTCTTGGTAGCTTCTTGGGGCGTCTTGGGGGCCTCTGGGACCGTCTGGACGCGATCTTGGGCGTCTTGGAGCGATCTTTCGGTGACTCGTAGCCCTCTTGGACCGTCCGGGTGCCTTTTGGGGCCCTTTTGACCCGTTTTGGAGCCCCCTTAGGCTCCAAGGGTGCGGCCGACACCTTTGCCCCCCACCCCACCCCCTCCAAACCGGCCGGACCGGGCTCCCGGGGAAGGGGTTTGGGGAGGGGGAAGCATCTCACACGCTGTGACCCCGAGAGGTCGGCTGATTTTTGTTGGCAATTTTGGGGTATTTTTTTTTGTTTTGCATTTTTTGATTTTCGCCCAAAATCCCCTTGTAGGGGGACAAGCCCGACCTAAGTGTAGTGCCGCCCCGCGGATCCTGGCCCCTGTCCCCAGAGGTCGCCCGCACGGTCCATCGCGCGCCCGTCCTCGGTCTTCTCATGCAGCTCGACGCCCCGCCACCTCGCTGGGGGACGGCGGGGGCCGACGCATTCGGCCGCTTAGGGGGCGCGAGCGGACGTGTTGGCCGCCCGCCTCTCTGTGCGCCTGTCGCCTCAGCTTCTCTCGCCTCGCGCTGGCGCGCCCCCCGCCGCTCGCGGCTGCCGGCGCGGCGGCCGCCGCGTGCGCCGGGGGCGGGGCTCCTCCTTCTTGGGCATGCTGCGAGGCGTGCACGTCGCCCGAAGCGTCAGTAAGCTCTCGCGGACGCGCGGACGACAAGCCAGCCTTGCCTCCGGGCACAGTGTGGTGGGGCCAGCGATGGAAGGGAGAGCAGTATGATGATGGACGGGGGCTCCTCCTCCTGCTCCTCCTCCTCCTCCTCCTCCTCCTCCCGCTCGATGCCTTTATGACCCGTCTGGAATCACGAGGACCATGCGAGAGTATCATGAGAGAATTTGTCGCAGCCTCCCGCACAAGTAGAGTTGTTGATTCATATTGTGTTGCTTACAATCGTTTCGAATCCGAATCCGAATCCCCGAGGGTCGATTGCAAGACTCGGCGCCGAGGCCGGCATCTTCAGCAATGACTCCATCAAGACGGCGGCAGCCATCGGCGTCGCGCTCGCCCCGACCTGCTTCCTCCCGTTCCAGCGCCAGCTGGCGACGCGTCGCAGGCCACTGTTGAGAGGGCTATCCTCCTCCTCCTCCTCCTCCTCCTCCTCCTCCTCCTCCTCCGCCCCTCCTCCCCGCCTCCTCGATCCACCTCGATCCACCTCGATCCTCCTCAGTCCTCCTTCTCGATCCTCTTCGATCTTCCTCCTCGATCCTTCTCCTCTCCCTCCTCCTCGATCCTTCTCCTCTTGCTCTTCCTCTTCCTCCTCCTCCTCGATCCTCATTCGGGCACGCTTCACCTCCTCCTTCTCGATCCTCCTTCTCGATCCTCCTCCTCCTCCTCCTCCTTCTCCTTCTCCTCCTCCTCCTCCTCTCCTCCTCCTCCTCCTCCTCGTCCTCCCCCTCGATCCTCCCACTACATAGCAATTTCGCTCTCCTGGGCGGGATAGGCCATCGGGCCCCCATCGGCGGTCAGCGGGCGATGAGGAGTTTTTCGGGCCCCCTCCCTCCTCCTCCTCCTCCTCCTCCTCCTCCTCCTCCTCCTCCTCCTCGATCCTCCTCCTCCTCCTCGATCCTCCTTCGGGCACGCTTCACCTCCTCCTTCTCGATCCTCCTCCTCTTCCTCCTCCTCCTCCTCGATCCTCCCACTATAGAGCGATTTCGCGCGCTGGACACTGGACACCAGGCACAGGACACCAGACACCGCACACTGGACACCAGCCACAGGACACCAGACACCAGCTTCCGGACACCAGACACGTGTCCTTCCTCCTTCACATGGCACCCTCTATTAGTCGAGGACCCTCTCCAAGCTGGTTCTAGATGTGCTAGATGTGGCCCAGCGCGGAACCAAGAAATCCTCGCGGAGCGCCAGAAGTTTATGTTTACGGTTTTTCCTCTTCTTCTAGATCATCCAAAGCAGACCCAGGAGTCAACCATGAATGCCTTCGCGGGCCTGTCGAGATGGGAGCCCCGTGGAAGCTAAGGGGGTCGTCTTGAGGCCCTCTCAGACCATCTTGGAGGCCTCTGGGGCTCGCTTGGGGCGCTCTTCGGGCTCTCCTGGGGCCCGCTCGGCCCTGCGGGGGCCCTCTTGGAGGACACCAGTAAAAGAGAGAGAGAGAGAGAGAGAGAGAAGAGAGAGAAGAGAGGGGGAGAGAGAGAGAGAGAGAGAGAGAGAGAGAGAGAGGGGGGCTCGTGGACTCCTTTTCGGGCCCTCGTGGGGCGCCCTGGGGCGCCCTGGGGCAGTATTTTGGAACCTCTCTGGGCAGCCGCGAGTCCAGCACCGAAGCATCTCTTCCGTCGCAGCGCGGCAGAGGCAATCCGCACGCGCGCTCAAGTAGTCCGGGTCACGAGATACTAAGTAATTGTCCAGCGGCACGAGAGGGAGAGGAAGGTGGAATGCGGCCGCGGAGGGCGGAAAGGGGGGAAGCATTTACAGCGCGGTGGACATCGGCAGGAGTGGCCGGTGCGGCCCGCCGCTTCTGTGGCGTCCTGGCAGTGGACCTGGAGCGTTAACGCGCCCACGCCCAGGGGCTGAGGCAACGGCTGCAGGCGCTGCAAGCGCAGGGCAAGTAGAACCAGTAGGGGAGAGGAGCAGCGAGCAGGCCCACTGCGGGCACCATCGGAGTGTTCGGCAGAGGGCCGTGCGCGGCGGGCATCGCCGTGGAACGGCTGGGCGGTATGTGGAAGTCAGCAAACTGGGGGCTGGCCAGCGTCCAGCTCGCGACCGCAAAATGCTGCAAGGCTGCCATGCTGAGCTTCTGAAGGCCACGCGGCAGGCTGCTGGCAGAACGCCGCTGCGGCGGCCAGCAGGGCAGGGCTGCCAGGAGCCAGGGCTGCTGAGCAGGTGCGAGGCTGCCGCGCTGGGCTGCTGAGGGCCACGGGCAGGGTTGCTGGCAGAGGCGCCACTGAGGCGGCAAGGAGGGCTGCCAGGAGCCAGGGCTGCTGAGCAGGACGCCGCCTGCGGGGTGGTGCGGGCAGCGAGGTGCCGTAGGCCGCCGCGGGGACGCCCCGGCGGCGGCAGGGCGCAGGGATGCGGGGAAGGAGAACCGTACCCGGCCGGCGCACGCATCACAGCCGAAGGCGGCGGGGACGCTCCGCCAAAGGGCTGGCGAGGCGGGGGCGCACAGCTGAGCGGCGGGGCAGGGGCGGGAGAAGGCGGCCTATGCGGCCGGTGCAACCGGTGGGTTGTTGCGATGTTTGAAATTTGTATGTTCTGATATCTCTTAATGTGTTTGAATGACAAGTTTTATTTTCTGTTTGTTTGTTCTTGTTGTCATGTGTATATCTGTGTATATATATATATATCCTATCCCTCCTCTTCCTCCTCTGCCTCTCCCCCTCCTCCTCCTCCTCCTCCTCCTCCTTTTCCTTCTTCTCTTCCCCCTCCCCCTCCTCCTCGTCCTCCTCCTCCTCCTCCTCCCCTCCTCCTCCTCTACCTCCTCCTCCTCCTCCTCCTCCTCCTCCTCCTCCTCCTCCTCCTCCTCCTCCCTCTCCTCCTCTTCCTCCTCCTCTCCACCTCCTCCTGCTCCTCCCCCTCCTCCTCCTCCTCCTCCTCCTCCTCCTCCTCCTCCTCCTCATCCTCCTCCTGCTCCCCCTGCAAGACCTCTTCGTCTTCCTCCTTTCTCTTCTCTTCTCCTTCCTCCTCCTCCTCCTTTTGCTGCTGCTCCTCCTCCTCCTGCTCCTCCTCGTATTCCTCCTCTTCTTTCCTTCTCCTCTATTTCCTTCTCTTCCACTTGCTCTTCCTGCTACTCTTCCCCCTCCACGTTCTCCCCCTCTTCCTCCTCCTCCCCCTTTCTTCCTCCTCCTCCTCCTCCTCCTCCTCCTCCTCCTCCCGCTCTCTCTGCAAGTCGTCCTCGTCTTCCTCTGTTTCCTTCTCTTCTCCTTCCTTTTCCTCCTCCTCCTGCTCCTCCTCCTCCTCGTCGTTTTCCTGCTGCTCCTCCTCCTCGAACTCCTCTTCCTCCTCCTCCTCCTCCTCCTCCTCCTCCTCCTCCTCCTCCTCCTCCTCCTCCTCTCTCGCCCCCGCGTCGTCTCCTCCCTCCTCCTCAACCTCCTAGAAGAAAGAAGTAGAAGCGAGGTCCGAACCACGCCGAAGGCAACTGGGCCCTTGGGAGGACAGCCGGCGGGCTCCCCCGAGTGGCCCTTCCTCCGTCCCCAAGTGCCCCTGCCTCCCTAACCCTGCTCCTCCTCTTCCTGCTCCCTCCCATCGGGGATCCAAGAGACCCCCCAGATCCCTGTAGGAGTGCTACGGTTCGGAAAGCCCAACGACGTCCAAGAGCGAACGTCTCGACGAGCCCCCCGCGCAAAGCCCACGCCGACGTTCTGCAAGGCCGCTTTCCCCGAAGTCGCATCAGCACGCCGCCTGGTACACCCCCCGTCTGACGCGCCACATTCTGGCCAGAATCCTGGGTTCGCAACCATTTGAACACAAATTTGGTTGCGAACCCGGGATTCGAAGGGTTTTCCTTTGGGAATCGCTCCCCTCACAAGAATCGTGGCATCCGGGCGCGAAAGTAAGAGCTCTCCGCTCCAACAGGCTATTCACAAACCACGCGGCCCGAAGAAGAGCGCCCAAAAGCATCGACGACTTCCAACAAGCGCCGAAAGGCCTCCAAAAAACCTCAGGAGTCCTCCGAAGAAAGCACTGAGAGTCACAATTGATCGATTTCCCCATAGCGTTTGAAGGATTTGTTCTTTCTCTCTTGCTCGACCGTCCGACGTTGCAAGCGGCCGTTGAAGCCCGCCAACCCCTTCCAAAACGACCCCAGAGGCTTGAAAGCGAACTCCCATAATCCTGAAGACAGCACCACCCAGGCCCAAGAGATGCCCAAGACAGTCCCCAAGAACCGCTTGCCAAGCCTCAGAGACAACCGCGCATGAAGACAAAACCATCTCACTCTGCCGTCTCAGTGTAACAACCCCCTCCATCCGCAACCTGCCCCACTTCGTGATGCATAACCGCGAGGGCCCCTCAAAGGACTCCCAGGATAGCACGAATGCCAGCTGATCCAGAGCTTCAAGGAACAAGGTGCATGGCGCGAAGCGCCAATGCAGTCTTGTATACATATATATTTATATATATACGTATATAGGTTGTTGATTGTTCTGTTATTTGTCAAATCTATATGTATGGAATTGGTTTTGGTGACGAGCCGAAGGCGATTCATTTAACGATGCCACCGGGCCGCCCGGCCCCGAAGCCAGCCAGGCGCGGGCGCCTGGCAGGGGCAGCGGGGGCCAAGACCAACACACGCAGGATTCTGGTGCGTTTTTCCACTGTTTCGGGCCTGAGGTGGCCTCGTCTGCCGGGGGCTGTCTGGGGCCTCGCCGCCGTCACCATGACGCGCCCCACTGGTGCCGAGGGCATGGTGGCGGATCCCGCCCCTCTTTTTTTTTTTTTTCCTCCTGCCGAAGGCCCTGGGGGGAGGAGGCATCCCTTCCCCCTCCCCTCCCTCTCTTTTTCGCTCCGTCCACGTCTCCGCCTCCCCCTCCCCCTCTCTTTCTCGCTCTTGCTCTCTGCCTCTATCTCTATGTGCAGGTCTGTGTGTGCGTGCGCGTCAGCATGTGGGGCGCTCCAGAGAGGCCTCGCCTCCGAGGATCGAAGGAGTTGGCAGCGCCTCCTCGGCGGGAGGGCGGAGGAGGGGCGGCGGAGGCCCGCGGAAGCGAGACGAGGCCGCCTCCGCCGGCCTCAGCTGGCGGAAGGCCAGCAGAGACCGTCAGGAACAGAAGTCGGCCTCCCAAGAGATGGCAATCTGTAGGGGGTTCAGGGTTTCTTGAACATCTGTATATACATACGTGTATGTATACAGCTTGATCTTTCTCGCTCTCTCTCTCTCTCTCTCTCTATATGTATATAGCATGTTCCATATTATCCGTCGTCATCGTCGTCGCTGTCGTCGTCGTTCTCCTCATCCGCGTCCTTTCCCTCCTCCTCGTCTTTTCCCGCCAGGCAGTGGCTGCTCCTGGCGTGCAAGATGTTCCTGCTCTTCGAGAGCCAGTGCATCAAGATTCTTGGCACCTACCTGGCAAGCGTCCAGATGGCCAACATTGTTGCCCTGAACGCGGACGCCTTCTGGCACATCACCAGGACTGGGGCATCACCCCGAAATATTCGTACTGTGTGTGCGTCGGCACCCCAGGGGCGCCGCGCACGCTCAGAGGTCAGATAATATGTTGCACCCCGCAATTGCGGATGAGAGTGAGGGCGCGGGCGCGGGGTGGGTCGCGGGTGGGTCGCGGGGTGGTTCGCGGGTGGGGTGCGGGGAGGAGGACGACGACAACAACAACAACAGCAACAACAACAACAACAACAACCATTTTAAGGCTGTACGCTCTTACTTGCCCGCGAGTCATTCAACACGTATACCCTACACCCTCGATACCCGCCCTCTTCGTCTTCGATCACACCCCTTTCGGGGGATTATTTCTCTTTGCTGGGGCCGGCGGGCTTAGACGTACGGGCAAACCGGAACGGGCGGACAATCCTTCGGGGGCGTACATCTCTCTGCCCGCCATTGGAATTGGCGCGGGCCCTGCAAGAGGAGGAGGGGAAGAACGAGGGAGAGTGGGAGGAAGGGGAGGGGGAAGGACGAAGGAAGAGGGAAGATACCACGTTGTGAAGGCGTCCTTGGCGCGTGCGTGGTTCCTGAGCGCCGAAACGCAATTCCAGAATAATTTGTGAGGACGTCGCACGCGAGAGCGCAGTCCTGAGTACATTGTGAGGAAATCTCAGGCGGAAGCGGGGGCCCTGACTAAGTTGCGAGGAAGTCTCAAGCGGGAGCGCCGTTCCTGAGCAAATTGCACGGAAGTCTCAGGCGGGAGCGGGGGTCCTCACTAAATTGCGAGGAAGTCTCAGGCGGGAGCGCCGTTCCTGAGTCAATTGCGCGGAAATGTCAGGCAGGAGCGGGGGTCCTGAGTAAAATTCGAAGAAGTCTCAGGCGGGAGCGCCGTTCCCACGTAAATTGCACGGAAGTCTCAGGCGGGAGCGGGGGTCTTGATTACATTGCGAGGAAGTCTCAGACGGGAGCGCCTTTCCTGAGTAAATTGCGCGGAAGTCTCAGGCGGGAGCGGGGGTCCTGAGTAAAAATCGAGGAAGTCTCAGGCGGGAGCCGTTGTTGTTGTAGCCCGGGGGGCAGGGGCACAGTTTGAGCAGGAAGACTTTCCTTGAGAAAAAAACAAGGTGCGAGCCCCGGGGGTGGCACTTCAATCGAAAAAAACCAATGTGCACCGGTGGGGGGGATCAACAATAATTATTCGTCAAGAATGAGAGTTCAACAACAACAACAACAACAACAACAACAACAACAACAACAACAACAACAACAACAACAACAACAACAACAACAACAACAGCAGCAACAACAACAACAACAACACACATTTTAAGATTGTTCGCAATTAGTTGGTCGCGTGCCACTCAACATGCATACCACAAACCCTCGATGCCCGCCCTCGTCATCTTCGATCGAGCTTCCCTTGACGTATACCTTCCTTGCCTGCCAAGTATAGTTGGCGCAGCCCCTGAAGCAGAGGAAGGGAGGGAGGAGGGGAGGGACAAAGGGGAGGGAGAAGGATGGATCACGAGAGAGATCAGCAGGAGGGGGGTTAAGAGTAGGAAATCAAGCGGCAGAAACAGACGGGCGGGCGGGCGGATGGACCCGAACGGGCGGGTCGAGCGGGGCGGGTCATTGAAACGTCAGTCCTGTATGAGTCGCAAGGAAGTCTCGGGTGGTAGCACGATTCCCAGCGGACAGATAGGATTTCCGGTTTGTGTTATCCCTCTTCGCTTCTCTTGGGGCCCCCTTGGGGCGATCTTTGGCTGTCTGGGGACCCTTTTTGGGCCGTCTTGGAACCCTCTCGGGCCGTCGTGGGGCCCTCGAAGGGGCCTCTTGGGCAGTTATTGGGCGGTCTACGAGGCTTCTTCGGCCGCTTTGTAGCGTCGGAAGCTCGAGAAGAATGTAACGCCAGTAACAATGAATAACGTCTGAAGGGAAACCATGGATTTTTGCCTCTCGGGGCCTCTTAGGAAGGCTCTCGGGGCGTCTCGAAGGCGTCTTGGGCGGTCTTGGAGCCATCGCAGGCGTCTTGGGCCAATCGTGTCCCGATTCGGGACCGCCTTAGAACGCCTTTGAGGCCACGGAATGCGGATTTGGAAGCTCCAGGGTCTCCTGGGGTGCGCCGAGTAGCCTGGATGCCCCCCCCCCCCCCCCTTCTCCTTAGGCGGGGTATTGGACCCCACCCTGGGGGAGGGGGCAAGGCAAAGAGGGGGCAGCCGATCATCTCACACGCCTTCTCGCCCCCGGCAGGCGGGGGCCGGCGGATGTATGTTCCCTGTGCGTTGCTTCTCTCTTGGGGCTCGAACCGTTCTTTTTTGGGGGGGTCCTACGTGGAGGAGGAGGAGGAGGAGGAGGAGGAGGAGGAGGAGGAGGAGGAGGAGGAGGAGGAGGAGGAGGAGGAGGAGGAGGAGGAGGAGGAGGACGAGGAGGAGGAGGGAGGCGGAGGAGGAGGAGGAGGAGGAGGAGGAGGAGGAGGAGGAGGAGTTGCCCTTCGACTGAGGCTCGATCGGTGGACTCCTTGGTGTGCGTTCGTGTGCCCCATACCGAGTGCCTCTCGACTGGGGCTCGAATCCGTGGTGTTTTTCGTGCGTGTGCTCCGGCAGGCTGCCCCTCTCCTGGGGCTCGAGTCCTTCGCGCTTCGGACCCTCGCCGCTCCCCAGAGTCGCACGGATTTGCTCACGTGTCGTGCGCTGGCTGACGGTGGCAAACGTGCCGCGGGAGACGTGCTGGCTCGACTTCCCTCGGGCGGGAGCTCTGGGTGTGGGGACATCGGCCCCTCCATCCGCAGAGTCCCCCAGCAAGATGGGGCAGCTTCGTGTCTGGTGCCCGTGGCGTGTAAGAGCATGGCGCACGAGGGCAAGCGCGTGCTGCTGTTGCTGCCGCTGCTGCTCGGGGGCCAGCAGCCCAGGCCGAGGCCCGGGACTTTCCCGAGTAAGAGTCCCCAGGGTGCGAGCCCTGGGAGGGGCGGCGCCTTCATTGTCGAACACGCTACGGGCACCGGAGGGGATCAACACGAATCAGTTTTCAGAGGTGGCGAGTCAACAGCAACAGCAGGCAGCAGCCAAGCATAATCAGGGGAGCGAAGAACGACAGAAACATGAAAACTCGGAGGTCCGCGCGGATTTCTCGGATCGGTGCTGGACCCCCCTCCCTGGCGCACGGAGCGCGCCAGGGGCGGCGCCGGAGTCGCCGCCAGGAGGGTCCCGCGCGGAGCCGAGAAATCCGCGCGGACCTCCGAGTTATTATGTTGATGCCATTTTTCGTTCCCCATACGCAATCTCGGTCACGGAGTCCCACTTCGCTCACGCACCCCGGGATGGCTCCAGAACGTTCGGCCCCCTCGTTCCGATCTGCCCGGTGGCGGGCGCTTTCTGGCCATGCCGCCTGGGCAACGATATATATATATATATATATATATATATATATACACACACGCATGTATATATGGATGTTTATTCATACATATATATATAGAGAGATCATGATTTATTTGTACTGTGTGATCGGTCTGGAAGTGCGCACAGTGCTCCAGGGCTGGGCCTGGACGCTGTTTTGCTGGACTTCGGTTGTGTTGTTGTTTCTCGTTTTGGCAGGGAGGTACAGGAGAGCAGGTCGAGCAAAACGAAACACAAAACGGAAACAAGACGAGGAACAATGTTTAGGTCCAGCCCTGTAGTACTCTCTGACTCTGGATCCGTCGTACTTTGGTGGATTTTCCTGCTTGAGGTTGCGCCGGACATGCCACCCACACGGGGAGAAGCAGCAGCGCTGACATTTCCGCCTCAGTAAAAGAAAACAGGGCGGATATTTCCGCGAGAGCACGGCAGAACCAGCGACGGCAAAGCAGGGTGGACATCGACATCCAAGAGGCTCGAAAAGCGGGGCGGACCTTCCGGCCCTGCTTAAGGGGCATCCCTCGGGCATTTTTTTTCTTCTTTCAGCGAGGACCATTGAGGAGCATCTGCGGCCATCGAGCAAAAAACAAAAAACACGCACGAGACCGAAACATGCACGGGGACGTCCGAGCGACGGCAAGCCTTTAAGGCGATGCGGGCCCCGGGAGTCGGGGCTCTGCGCCCCAGGACGCTGCAGATGTCGCTCCTGCTCATCGGGTGCCTCGACGCGTTCGCGGGCAGCTACGTGGAGTCCATACTGCTGCTGGAGTGGCGGCGGGACCTCAGCCACTACGTCCTCAAAAAGTACATGGGCTCGCAGGCGTACTACAGGATGAACTCGAACTCTGGCAAGGACTGGGGACACGAGATGTCGCCAGAGATCTTGGCGCCATCTTTCTCCCACACTGGGGGATCTTGCCTTGTTTCGGGCTCCAGGACCCTCACGTATGGATCCGGCTTGAGACAGGCCGCAGACATATCAGATCTAGGGCTTTGGTCGTTTTTGCAGATCACATCTTCTTTCAAGGCGCCGGATCTCATGGTCGGGGTGGTGGATGTCGGGCTGACGAGGGGAAGGCAGCTGTTTTTCCCTTTCCACTCCTTCCGTCCATCCTCTGGTCAGGGGACAAAAAAGTGGAACCCCTTCGTCACGCCTGTGCTGCCGAATGCTTGGTGCCCACTCTGAAATGGTGAACGTTTTCTTATTCGGCGTTTCGACATTGGGCGGTTGGGGGGGGGCATCTGGCTCCGGACCTCTGCTTAGTGCGACTGCTGGCAGCAGTGCGTCCCATGGGGGAGACTCCGCGTGCTCGAAACAGGCGCCAAAAACAGCCAAGATCTACTCCATGGAGGGGGGAGGAGGAGGAGGAGGAGGAGGAGGAGGAGGAGGAGGAGGAGGAGGAGGAGGAGGAGGAGGAGGAGGAGGAGGAGGAGGAGAAGGAGAAGGAGAAAGGAGAAAGGATGGAGGAGGAGGGCAGAGGAAGGAGGGGGGAGAGGAGGGAGGAGAAAGGAGGAGGGCCCGCGCCGACCGGCGAAACAACGATTCAAAAAGGATCACATGCGGGGGAGGAGGGGGGCGCGGCGTCAAGGGTTCCACTTCTCTGTCCATCGGCGGTGCCTCCCCCCCGCGGTGCCCACCACTGCAGAGGCGCTGAGGGCCGGGCTCCTGCCCGACGGGGGGGTGCCTACCTCTGCTCTCCTCTCGTGATGTTCCAGCCTGCTTCAGCCTCGACCACCAGAAAGAATTTCGAGCACCAAGAAAGTACCAAAACTTGAGGGTTTTCACGTGTCGGGCCCTGGGAGGCACTCGTCCGACACTGTTTCGACGCTCTTTCGGCACTTTTCCGGGTGCTCGAGATTATTTCTGGGGGGCGTGGCCCTTAAGTACTATGGGAACATCATAACTCTCCGCCCTTCTTCCCGCCTGCTCCGCTGCCCCTCCCCCCCGTCGACAGACAGCGAAGCCTTTCCAGCTTGGCATCGCTCGGGCGTTTTTTTTGTTTGTCTTTGTCTCGGCGAGGACCATCGAGGAGCATCCTGGATCATCTGGCCAAAAGAAGCACGCGCGAAGCCGAGAAGTGCACGGGGAACGTACGTCCGGGCGATGGCAAGCACGTGTGCTGACAGTATCTCGGGGACCCTGTGAGTTCGGTTTGTTCTGAAGCACGGACATGCGTGTCACTTAGGCTTCGTCGTCCAACCTGGACTCTTCTCGTAAGAGTATATGTATATATACACACATATATGTACATATATGCATATAGATATATATTTTTATATATATGTGTATTACGGGGATGCCCCTAGGGAGGGGGTCGGTCTCTTGTCTGCCTGCGTGTCCTCCTCCCTCCTGACCTCCCCGGCTTCACCACGCAGTGCACTGTCTGACACAAGTGATGTGGAAGATGGCCAGTATCGTTCTCTGTTCAGAGGACAGTCGGACCGAGGCATAAGATCGAGGTTGCTTCGGGGAGGGCACCCCAGTATTATCCGTGCTTGTTGGACGTTCTTGCGCACCCTGGGGAGGGTACCCTTGGATGTTCTGTGTGTTTTGGCCGGCAGAGGGTCCCACGTCCTTGACGGATGCTCTTCTGGCCCAGGCTCGACCGTGCGAGGTCAGCCTCAGCGGAGTCCTGCTGCTGAGCCTCGTGCTGCCCGCCGCCAGCGCACGCAGGCTGCAGAGGCCACCTCGCCGCCATCGGCCGCCGCCCCCCCCGCCCCGTCGCCACTCTGCCCGCCCCGCTGCCCCGGGCCGTCGACCCGTGGGAAGCCCTGGGAGACCGCTCCCTTCGAACCACTCCGTCCCTCCGTC